GAAGAAGTAGATTCCAGCAGTGATAAGAAGAAACGTCAAGAAGGCGACGAAGAAGTAGATTCCAGCAGTGATAAGAAGAAACGTCAAGAAGGCGACGAAGAAGTAGATTCCAGCAGTGATAAGAAAAAACGTCAAGAGGGCGACGAAGAAGTAGATTCCAGCAGTGATAAGAAGAAACGTCAAGAGGGCGACGAAGAAGTAGATTCCAGCAGTGATAAGAAGAAACGTCAAGAAGGCGACGAAGAAGTAGATTCCAGCAGTGATAAGAAAAAACGTCAAGAGGGCGACGAAGAAGTAGATTCCAGCAGTGATAAGAAGATGTAGATTCCAGTGAAGCGATCAGTTTCCAAGACTAACAAAGGCGAAAGTAAAGCGGAAGATTACAAGAACATTAAAAAGCAAAATTTTACCTGAGGTCCTTTATAACAAATCTCACTGCGATAATAAATATTCACAACTTAAGATATAATGTACTATCTTAATACTGTATTATTAAATCTTAAAAAAAAAAAATATAAATAAAAATTATTTGACATTAGCATCAATCATCATTATAACATTGGAGACGTTAATTGACTTGTTTATTTTTATTGCAAATTAGCATATCGCCCGTGCCTCCAAATAATCCTACTATTTTGATAACACACATTATGTGATAGAGTTGTATTAGAATGATTTCTATCATGAGTTACAATAAAAAAATTTATTCGTTATTCCGGTGGCACGCTAGGGTGTTACCTCAATTAATAAATTAAAACATAGTCAGGGAAACATATGATCATTGATTTCGGATTTTTTTATAGGCCTATATTAAATATTAAGTGAAATTTACATTTATTAGCACAAGTATCTAACGAAAGTGTATATAAATTTTTTAACTTGAAGCACTCAATTAGCTCTACATGGTAATGGAGCTATTTTTAAATTAATTAAATAATTAATATTTAACATTTATATAATAATTGAACGATTTTTATAAACTGTTGAAAAAAATAACTCTATTACCATGTAGAACTAGCTGAGAGCTTCAAGTTAAAAAAAAAATTATATGCATTTTTGTTATATACTCGTGCCAATAAATGTAAATTTAGTTTTATAATTATTTTTATAATCATCTAGTATAAATCGTCGAAAAAATCCAATATCGAAATTTTACCAGTAATAAATCCGAAATTAATGAACCTCATATGTTACCTGACTATGTTTGATTTTATTAGTTGAGGTAACACCCTAGTGATACGCTGTATGGTGTTGAGTTAGTTTGCATTGGAATTAGCATGAGCTACTGTAAAAAACTCTGTTGCAGAACTTGCTATTCCAGTAACAATACACAGGTCGAAAGATAAAAAATCAGGCACAAATCAGGTACCCGATTTTAAACTGATTACTGCCTGATTACCACC